GGAGCAGGGACTGCAGGATCCAGCCTCTCCAAGCAGTGACTGACACCTCTGGCTGAATTCTCTTCCCACTCTCCCCAGTTGCCTGGCAGCGATATCTTTGCAATGCAGAAGAGCCTGTGCTGCTGATAAGGAGCAGCAGGGCGAGATTACAGCTGTGAAATGCTCACCTCCAGCTCCTTGCAGCCAGATCCAGGGCCCAGCTCCAGCAGAGGCCACTCCAGAGGCACCAAGCAGGAGAAATCTCCTGCAGAAGCGGCGATGCCGAAGCAGGCGGCGCTTCCGCCTGCTCCCACCAGCAAATCCCACTCGTGCCACAAATAAAAGCTGCAGCCTGGGCTAATTTAACACACAAGTGACTCCATTTCCTCCTGTACATTCTGCAAAGCCCCAGCAGGCCCAGGAAGGGGTAAGAGTGCTGCAGCTGAATCAGCTGAGCTGCAGCTCCTCAGTTTCAGAGCCATCCCTGTGCTGGACAAAGCCACGCTCAAGGTGAAGGTCAGGAGCCCCAGACAAGAATTCTGCCACATTCACACTCACACAGAGTTCTACAAAATGAAACAAGACCCATGCCCTGCTATTCCAGCACCAACATGAACTAAAACCAGAGAGGAAAAACTCTTCCCTTCCAACTGATCATTTACTGACAAAATGGAAACGCTTTTCATCATCCCCACTTCTCAGCTTGATTTGCTTTAATTGCAAAACAGTCTGGCTGTCCAAACAAATCTCCTATCCCTGCATTTTCTGTGGTGCTCCTCAGATCACTTTATTATCTCCCTCTCTGGCACACGTAGGTATGAGCAGGATTCAATTACCTGGGTCTGCAGGACGGATCATCCATTTCTCCTGATAAAGGCAGGGAACACGGCGAGAACATTTATCTGCTGCAAGGATCACTCCAATATCCTCAGAGACATTAAAGAAGGGTCTGCTAGAGCTGCCTGTCATGACTCACTACTACAAGCTCCTCTTGCCAAATTCCCAAGTTTTCACTGCCCACAAACCCCACCTGCTCTTCCCAGGAAATCTTTAACCCAGCAGCTCATCTGCCACAAGACAGGCAGCAGCTTTATTTTCTACCCTGCTACATCTGATTCTGTTCTGAGTAAAGCTGAGGATAAAATGGTGAATTCTGACCCACCTCTGCCAGAAACACTTTAAATGCAACAGTTCCTGCATTAACAAGGGACAAGCTCTGTGTTGTTCAGCCACAACCCCTCTCACTCCCCTTTAGTGTGTCAAGGGGGCAAAGCCAGGTGAGCATTTACAGCCTGAATCTTCCCATGGCAGATACTCTATAACTGAATCTAGTTTAAGAAGGTCAAGTCAGCTGTTACCTTGCCAGGTTTTGTCATTAGTTCCTCCTGGATATCCTCTCAGCCTGCCAAGGCAGGTGCACTGACTCACCTGGCTCAGTCTGTGACAGAACTGACGCACGTCTGAGCTGGGAGTTCCTGGGACTCTCCTCAAGTTTTCTTATTTCCCCACAGTTAATGATTAACCCCATCTTTTATTTTTGTTTGCAATGCTGGCAGTCTGTTTTTAGTAACATCTTGCCCCAGCCATATTTAATCAGTGAAACCTCAGAGGTTTCCTCTGGAGCTCCATGGCTGGGGCTGGGCAATGCCCAGGTCACACCATGCCACGTTCTGTCCTCCTGGTGCCAATGTGAAACAGGAGAAGTGACACCACTCTGCACATCAAAAACTCCTCTGAAGGACAAATTCAAAGCATCCTCAGCTTTTGGAACTTTCAGGAGCCTTTGCTCCACTGCAGGAGTTTTGTTTCGTACAAGTCACGACAGCAGTGAAGAAAAAAAAAGGAGACTAAAGGAGATATATTTTTGTGAGTTAGCAAAACAGCTCACATTTTAACATCCTCTACCTGAGCAGGTGTAAAAAACCAATCTCCAGATGGACCTGTTGGTGAGGAAGGCAGCTCCACCAGTCTGCATTCCCATAACTCCCAGTGACTCACAGAGCCTGGCACTATCATTTGTTAAAGCAAGAGTGAAGCAGGGATAATAGCTATTTACTAAAAACAGAGGAGCGTGATTAGCTTTAATTAGCATTGTCAAGTGACTTGAGATTGTCAGGTACAAGATGTGGGAGAACTAAGTCTCATTAATTATGTTATTTCCTGCAGCCTTAAGTGGCTTGGCCAGTCCAGCGAGGCTTCCGGGGATGGAGCTGCTCCCCATGGCCAGCACACCCCACAGCAGAGGGTGGAAAAGGTGGAAAAGCTCCCAGGCAGGCTGGGAGATGTGGCTGTCCAGTAAAAGGTGGCAGAGGAGGAGAAGAATCAGCCACACTCAGTTTATGTGCAGCAGGACAGCCACAGAGCCTGGCAAACGGGGACAAAAAGGCAAAATGACACGGCAGAAAGCAGAGTGGGAGATAAGGCACTGCCAAAATCCAGGGAGATGAGGAGCGGGGATCAATGGGGGTACAGGGAACAGGATTCATGGCACAGCACTCCCAGAAAAGTGCGGTTTTGTTCTCCCCAAAAAGACAAACTATAAGAAATCCACATTCTCAACCAGCCTCACAGACACTGATTTAGCAGCTGAGGATCTGTACCAAAGAAATGAAAAATCCTGGGGTCAGGATAGTGCCTCTGTTCCATGGACTGGAAGGAAAAGGAAAGCTGTCCTCAGCCATCAGTTACTGTGACTGGATCTGAAAGACAGGAGCTGCAAACAAACAGGCACAGAAAAGAGGGAACACCCTGAAGGACCAACCCACAGCTCTCCATCAAGGAGTGGGCAAAGACAGCTGTGTGTCCTGGTTCCCAAGCAATGAACAACTCTGCTGCATCCTGGACATCCTGATCAGCTTCAGAACAGCCTGAACACGGAACTGAACCCTCAATTTCCTCATTCCTGACTCCACTCTGTGATCCCTGTGCTCCAGCACCCCACAGCTGACCTCTAATGAAGACTCTGCTTAAGCTCTGCCAGTTAATGACCAAAGCCCAATGAAAGCCTGGCTTTATTGGTGCCTCTTCTTCCACAAACAGAAGCAAAGGCAAGGCTGTGATGCAAGAACAAGAAATAAATGGTTTTTTACTCCTCTGCAATCCCTGCAATGCTTTTGTAGTACCACAGCACATGAAGGAGGTCCCAACTCTGTGAACTGCCAGCCAGGACCTACACCAGAGTGACCAGTTCCTTAATTAAATTCTCTCTCTCAGCAACAGGTTTCAATCCATGAGTCAAGGAGCCTTTGAGGGAATGTGGATTTACAGGTAGGGATGCTGTCTGCTTCAACACAGCCCTGACTCAACTGCACACACCAAGCAGCAAGGAAAGGAAATAATTTATTCAGAATCTACGGATCCAGAGGACACCAGGGAGCTCAAGGACTGTTTTGCCAGTTATTCCAATCCTGGCACTGGGAAAGAGACACCTGCAAAGAAAGCTAAAATAATAAATATATAAGGGAAGCACTTGACACCTCCATCACAGTATTCCCAACCTCAGCTTCAAAGCCCAGCCCTCACTTTTACACAAGAGGAAACAAGAGGAAGGAGGAAACAAGAACCAGGGAGGAAAGGAGAACATCCCAATTCCCTGTTCCAGCACTGCTGTTACACAGCAAACCGTGTTTACAAGGAACCAGAGGCGTGGATCCAACACGATGAGATCTTGAACAGAATCAGTGGGAGTGCCGTGCGAGGATGAAGTCACAGAACACATCCTCTCCAGGCAGAATCCTCTCACGGATTACAAGGCAAGCTCCCCTCAGTATCTGCTTGTTTACAACCCTCTCACTCAGCACAGGCCTCCCTGCGCTGCCCAGCTTTAAGGAACCATAAACGCATTAGGAAAAATCCTTATCTGGAGCGGGGAGCGGGCGCTGAGGGAGGCAGGGAGGGAGGCAGGGCAGGTGCTGTGCCCTGGCCCGCCCTGGCCCAGCTGCGTGCGAGGAACTCTGACTGCCCTGACAGGCCTGGCTCTGGCTGTTTTCTAAGACAGAAAAAGGTGAGGACAGAGGCACTCCAGTAAATTGCAGGCTAAGGCTGTGAGGATTCCACTTCTGTTCTTCCCACCCCATTTTAAACAGGAGGATTTCAAATCAGCTGCACTTCAAAAATCAGCATTAAAACCTGAAGCTATGAACCCAGGGCTAATTCTGTCACCTCGAACTTTTCAGCATCAAACCCAGGAGTCTCTATGGAGATGCAGAACCCCGTTAGCATTTCAAACCTCAACCCTGGCCCTCGGCGGAGCTCTGCAGAAGAGGAAGCTGCTACACCCTTATCAGGGATGACAGCAACAACACAGAGCAGCTGAGCAGGGACACAGCAGCCGAGATACAACACGGAGCAGCTGAGCAGACATCCATCCCCAGGCTGGCCCGCAGTCCCTGCGCCCCCCGGGCACGATGGCAGCAGAGGCACAGCCGGGCACGGCCGGGGCTCCCGGGACTCGCAGCGCCGCTGGCACTCGGAGCCGCCGGCCCGGAGCCCCCGGGGAAGCTGTGGTAACTCCGCGGGGTCACGGCCCGAGCCCCCCGCACGCCGGTGCCACCAAGGCTCAGGGCTTGCGGTGCGATCACCGCCACAGCCGGGTGGCTGCCGAGGCACGACCACCTCTGCTCCTCCTCCTCTTCCTCGCCCGGCGTTTCCTCGCTGCTCCCCGGCCCGGTGTCACCGAGCCCCTCCCGGCTGGACCTGTTGCCCCCCGCCTCCATCCCCCGGCCCGGCCGCGCACACAAAGGCCGCCGCTCGCCCAGCCCGGTTCGCCCACCGCCAGCACCGGGGGCTCCCCCATCTCCTCTAGCGGCGCTGACGGAGCCCCCCGGGGATGCTCCGCGGGCTCCGCGCGGCCGCGGGCCGGGTGCAGGGGGGGACGCGGGGACACACGGACACAGACGCGGCTGTGGCGCAGCTGCGCGCGGCCGCCCAGCCCCGGCCCCGCCGCGCGCGGGCCGGGACGCTTCTCCTCGGCGGCCGCTCGCCCCTCACGCCCTCACGCTCTCCGTGCCGCCCTCACTCACCGCGGCCGCACCGAGCGCGTCCCGGCGCGGACCGAGCGCGGCGGCCGCCGACGCGCACAGAGCCCGCAGCGCCTCCCCCGCCCGCCGCCTGCTCCCTCCCCTTATACCCTACCGGCGCTGAGCGACATCGACTTTAACCAATCAGCGCACGCCGGCACATAGCAACACGCCGTGGATTGGCTAGCACCGGCCGCAGCCCATTTTTGCCCAGCCACTCAGAGCGCGGCGCTCCCGCCCCTCCCGCGCGCACCGGCGGTTCCGCACGCAGCGGTGCGGCGGGCGCAGCCAATGGAAGCGCGGCTCTCGCCGCCGCAGCCAATGGGAGCGCGGCTCGCGCGGCCGCACAACAAACACGGCGCGGGCTCTTAAAGGGGCCGCGCCTCCCGCGGGATGCGCGCAGGATGCGCGGGGGATGCGCGGCCCGGGGGTGCCGGGGGTTTCGGGATCACGGCGCAGGGAAAGGGGCGGCTGCGGTCACTGGGCCAGGGCTGTGCGGTATTTCCGTCTTTATCCGCGCAGGTAATTAGCGCGCGTTAATGAACGGCGGCAATGAGCGGTGTCTGTGCGCGGGGTGGGCGCTGGGGATGGGGGAGCAGCGGCAGAACAGAGACACAAAATGCACGAATTGAATCCCAAAATACACCAGTAGTAACCCCAAAATCCATCAGTGCTAACCCCAAAATTCACCAATATTAACCTCCTAAATCCATCAATACTAACCCAAACATTCTCAATATTAACCCCAAAATCCACCAGTGCTAACCCCAAAAATCACCATTATTAACCCCCAAAATCCATCAATACTAACACCAAAATCTACCGGTACTAACCCCAAAATTCACCAATACTAATCTCAAAGTTCATCAATATTGACCCCAAAATCCACCAGTACTAACCCAAACATTCTCAATATTAACCTCCAAAATCCACTATATTAACCCCAAGCCCCACCAGTACTAACCTCAAAATGCATTAATATTAACCAAAAAATTAACCCAAAATTAACCAATATTAACCCCCAAAATCCACCAATACCAACCCAGCTTCTCCACCACGCCTCAGGGCTAACAGCAGAGCTGAGGATATTCCAATATTCCCTATTTCCCCTGCAATTCTCCATCCATGAATTTTCCAGCAGATTTGTGCCCCAGCAGTTCAGGTGTGCTCACATCCCCAATTAAATCCAAAATCCCCTCAAACTCTGTAATTAACACAGAGAGCTCAGGTCAGTTGAAGGCTTCTCCCTGTTTTTATTCCCTAATTACAATAATTCAGTGTATAAAGTACAGGTTTAATATCCCAGAAGGGTTTGGGGTGGAGGGGAACTTAAAGTCCATCCCATTCCACCCCTGGTGAGTTATTATTAAATAATATTATTATTAAAAAATAATATATTTAATATTGGAAATGGCCAGGGACTCTTCCCACTATCCCCTAGACATTTCCAAAATTAAAAATATTTAATTAATATCTAGCTGTCCATTTCTCACATCCATGATTAAAATTCTGCATCTTCAGGGCTGAAATATATTTGTTTTATGAGATTATTCTTGTTCTCTCTTCTGCTTAAGGAAATTCTTAATATTTTATTGCAGAATTCCTTAATTGGTAATAAGAGCAATATTCTGGTTCAAAAGTTAAATACATGGAATAATAAGGCAAAATTTCCATTAATTATGATAATTTTTAAAAAATAACATCCTAGCTTTTCCAGCCCCTCTCCCCAGTGCTAAAAACTCTGAATTTAACAGATCTAGACGAGGTTATCAGCAGGAAGTGGTGACAGAATTTACTCAAACTTGAAATCACCCAGAAACCACAAGAAACCATCAGCAAAACAAATTGACACCACCAAAGAAGGGAATTTTTTTCTTTTCACCCCAGAATTTTTCAGTACATTATTATTATCATTATTATTTACAAGGTGAACATTAATATTGTTTATATATAAAGGTTTCTGTTGTTTATTGGTTAAGGGTGATGAGATATTGGAATTATTTTGCTTTAATTCAGCATCACTGTGGAGATCTGGGGGCTCACACAGCTTTGAGGGTGTAGTAAAATATCACCATAAAAAAGCCAAAATTTCTTCTTTATGTTTCGTGATTTATAAAAATTGGAAGGTTTTTAGGGATACCAGTGTTTTATAAGGAGAATTTAACTCACTTTTGTAAAACAAAACAAAACACTGGTTGATTTAAAGGCTGCTTATTAAAGCTTTAAATCCCATTTTCACATTTGATTCTGGGTTAGTTTGGCTGCAAATTTTGCAGCACCATGAAAAATCTGCTGAGCTGAGCTTTAGGAAAACCTATTTAAAAAAATCTGAATTTTGGCTCTACAATAATCACAGCTTAGCTTTAAACTGAACACTAACCAGGATTTTTAACCTCACTATTTGCAAACACTCATTTTTTGGAGCCTGAGCACCCCAGTTAATGTTTTTTCCCTGCTCAGTGGCTGATATCAGTTTAAATAATAATTATTATTTAAACAAGCAAAGCCCAACTGCTCCAACATCACTGCCTGGGGGAAACTTTTGTCAGGCAATTCTGAGAGGGGAGAAAACTCCAGATCACCCATGGAGGTATTGCCTCAGCCCTGGGAATTAAATTTGTGTTTGGAGCTGATAAAAATCTCCTTTTCTTGGCATTCCTGATTTTATTTACAGCAGCTGTTAGTGGCCTTGGAACCAAGATCCCCCCCCTGCTATTGCCTGTTTTCTCTATTTGGGAAGGGCTTTTTTTGTCTAAAATAGGAATATCTCAAGTTTTTGATGGCAGCAGCATCTTTCAATGTTTCCATCATTAATAGAAGTAATTTTATTTCACTATTTTTGGTCCAACAAAAACCCCAGTGCTTCATCCTGCCCCAAAATCACCAAGCCACGACAGTGCAGCTGTAACACAACCCCAAGAGCTGCTCCCTCATTTTCCTTTCTGCAGCAATAATCCAGATTTCACAATTAGGATTTCCATAGGATTTCCATGGAAATCGGTTTTACCATGCAGAAATCGATGGGGAAATCTCCTAATCTGGGGCTCCTGGGCTGCAGCCCCGCAGTGCGGGTTCCCATGCCGAGGATGAGGATGAGGATGATGATGATGGATCCCTCTGGAAAGGCAGCGGGAACCCGCGGGCTGTGGCGGCCTCCGGTGGCAGCACCGAGCAGGGACATGCCGGTTATTGCCTACCCTAATTCATCTCTTCTGCAATGGGAGTTTCAGGGGGAAACCAATATTTTAATAAAAAAATATATTTAGATATATAAATTTTTATCTTATCGATAAATATATAAAATGTATTTATATATTATAAAAATAAGTCTATATAATTTTATGTATATTATATATTTTATATATATAAAATATATAAAACATAAAAATATAAAAATATATTTATATATTATAAAAATAAGTCTATATAATTTTATATGTATTATATATTTATATATATAATATATAAAACAAAAATATATATTTATATATAATTATTATATATAAAATAAGTATTATATATAGTATACAAATATACTTTTATATTAAAAACATAAATGTATACTAAAATCTATACTAATGATAATATATTCTATATGATATAGAAAGTGTATAGATAAAATTATATAAAATATATAATATATAATATTTCTGGATAAAATTATACCATATAATATACATTAATTTATATATTATATAAATAACATAAGTAGGTATTTTATATTATTTACTTATAATAATATAAGTAAATTATAATTATATTATTATAAATTAGAATAAGTAATTATATAATAATTCCTTATTTTATTGTTTACTATGATTATATTTTCAATACATGATATGAATATATTATATTCATATACTATAACTATATTGATATAGTAAATATAATTCTATATTTAATTGCAATTATATACCATATTATATGTAATTTATAATGTAATTATATATTATATTATAAGATACATATAATATGTAATTATATATTATAATAAGATATAATGTAATTGTATATCACATTATAATAAGATATATCACATTATATATATATATATGTGTGTGTATATATATATATGCAATTTTTATATATATATATATATATATATATATATATATATATATATATATATATATATCCTGAAAATTCCTTAAAATAATCAGCACCTCGAGCCTTCTTGCTTTGGATAAATAAATTGTGAAGTTGTTCTGAATATTTTGTTTGAGCTGCAGATTTATGGCAGGTGACAGCACCTGAAGTGATCACAAATAAATATTTTCCATGTTAAAGACTCTGTCATGTCCCCCAGTTCCCTGTTCTGGTTTAGCAAACATTTGGGAAGTGTTTTAAGAAATCAAACAGCACCCAGAGCCATCTGGAGAATCCTCTCACAGTGCTGGAAAAATCCTTTGGAAGTTACTGGAAATTGTAACACACAAACCCCCAGCTCACCTCTCTCACCTAAATATGAACTCTCAAGGCTTCAAAATTACACTTGACCTTAAAACCTAATATTTCATGTAATTTAATGGCAATCCAAAATGTTTCCTCTAGGATTAGAGGAAACTTTATCCTGCTGATCATCAGAAAGGACAGAAAGCTGCTGCAGGTGGAATTCCTGAGAACACCAACTCAAACCAAGGACATTGCAAACACAAAACTCTCAGAAACGAGGTTTTTAGGGAAAGAAGTCACACCTAACAAGCATTCAGTTTTAGACCTTTTATGAGCAAAGATGTTTTAATGTGCCACATTTCCAAAGCATCAAATCCTTCTTGACATGAAAAGAGAAATCACTGCATAGCTTTGGAGCTAGAGAGGTCCACGAGAGTTTCTGCAAATTAAAAGTGCATGAAATCCATGCAGTCATCCTTCATACATAAACAGGGTGGAGAACACAGTGGTAAACAATATTTAGAGTTAAAAGTACCTGAAAAGAATCTCACCTCAGAGAGAGATGAACTGAACATCCTCCTTGACAGTTGTGCAAGTTCTCAACAAAAGCTTTTCTGTACAAGTGGTTTAAAAAAAAATAAAAAAAATCACACAGCGATTCTGGAATATT